CTATTCTGTCAATACTTCCTTGCCATATCCCTTTTCCAGCAAGAGGTTGTTGACCATGGACAAGTCATTAAGTTTTGGGGTACAGGGTAGGCCTCCATGGCCTAAATTGCGGGGGGAGCTCTCGCAGTGAGAGAGAGGCTGCGTGGCACCAACAGGGCAACTCCAGCTGCGACAAGTCCCTTTGCGCTGTAAGCCACACGTCTCTTCTTCATTCGCCCTGAACGTAGAGAAAAAGAAGCAGAAGGCAGAAATGCGCCGCCGGATCAGGACATCTTAACGACAATGTCAGGCCTTCAAAACGGCATTTCCAATAGCGAACACCCCGTCGTCGAAACACCAGTCGCTGTCTCTACTTCGTCCCTTGACAATGCCAACACCGAGTCCGAGATTCGTGAAGCGCTCGCCTCGCTGCATGCCCACGAGGCTTCTATAACGTCCCGCCTCGATGCTCTCGTGGCTTCACAGGCTGATCTATCCCGCGATCTGGGGCGGCTGGATCTGCTGCGGGCTGGACTGGGAGCGCAGGTCATCGCCGCACGTTCAATTGGGAATGATATGCTAGCAACGGCAGCAGATACGGCTGGTCGACTGAGTGACAGAGTCAAAGAGTTGGACCTTGAAAAGAGCAGAGTCGAGGAAACGCTGGGTGTGGTGGAACAGGTCGCGGAGCTCAAGGCTTGTGTAAATGGCGTGGTGGGTTCCATGGGAGCGCCCCAAGACTGGGAGGCTGCTGCTGGATACATATCGAGAGCAAGCAAGGTCCCAGAAGAGATCACAAAAGGTTCATTCGCTGTTGGCATAGTGCCCAGCGTCGAAGTCCCCGACCCGCCATGGGTGACATTGGAAGAAGCCAAGGAGAGTTTATGTGGCCTCTTCTTGAGGGAGTTTGAAAAGGCGGCGGAGGAGAGTGATGGCACGAAAGTCACTAGATTTTTCAAGCTCTTTCCCCTGATAGGAAGAGCTGAGGTCGGATTAGATGTCTACGGAAGATATGTGTGCCAGGGAGTCGCTGGAACCGCTCGAGCGACACTCAAAGATGCCATGAACGGACAGCGTAGGGAAGGCTTCTTTTATGCTAACGCCTTGACGAAGTTGTTTGAGCACATCGCTCAGATTGTCGAAGGTCACGGCGGGCTTGTAGAGCGTCATTATGGCTCTGGAAAAATGGTTCGCGTCATTGAACGTTTACAGATGGAGGCGGATGTCCAGGGTGGTATCATTGTCGACACCTGGAGCGATGAAAGAGAAATTGATAGGAAACTTACCGACGTCAGAAGCTACCCATTCTCGTTTCTAGTCCAGAGCTTCTTACCCCAGCCCCCTCGTGGTGGCACACCAAGGGTGAAGTCGCCAGCCATAGGGGTAGGCAACAATCCCCGAGAAAGTGAGGATGAGGGTGTCAATATGAGAGAAGTTGATGGCCTCCTGAGTGAGATTGCGGTGATGCTTGGACGCTGGTCATTGTACACTCGATTCCTCGCCGGCAAATGCAAGGTATGTTTGACTATTCAATCTCCGAGATAACCAGAAACTTATGCGTCTCAGAACTCCGACACACCAGATGAGGCGCCTCTTGTCATACCAGACGTACTTGTCAAATCTAATCTATACCGAAAAGTATCTACCAAGCTCACATCCCCTTACAACGTCATGACTACTTTCTTCTTCCGCCGTTCAGTCGAAAAGGCCTTCCAGCTGGATGAGTATCCTACTGGTCTGTCATTAAGCCTGAGCAGGCAGATCGAGGGCAATGCCCCGTACATTATATTAGCGGTGGACGATGTCATGTACATTGTGAATGCAGTCATTCAGAAATCTATTTCAACATCACAAAGAGATGTCATTGCTTCTGTCGTCCCGACAGTTGGCCGAGTGCTTGGCTCCGACTTTGTTGGTATGATCCAGCGCAAGATGAGAGATGAATCGTATCCCAGACCGGTCGTCCAGGGAGGATTCCCACCTGAGGACAAGATCATCCAGTTCATCGTTCTTATCAATAGTCTGGACATGGCCAACGAGTATTTGACTCGAATTATCACGGGACGGATAGGGCAATCGAGTCATCTGCCCAACGGTGATGCCCAAAACGGGCCCCTCAAGGATTCGTTCCCATTTGAGCGAGATGTTATCTTTGTTGCAAACGCACTACACACTCTTCAGACTTCGTTCATCGGAAAAACGACCGAGCTGCTCAACGAGGGAATCCAGGTGCTCTTCAACCAGGTTGTCAAGCTCCGCTTAAGGCCGGTCCTGACAGATACATTCCGTGATGCGGACTACACCCTGTCGGAGGACGACATTGCAGATATAGCGCAGCAGAACGACGAAGACGAAGATGAACTCATGGAACAAGTTCCACGACTGTTCGAGCACGGTTGGGATCAACTCATGAAGCCAATTTCACGTTTGATGACACCTGGGACATACACCACTCTCCTTGACACCACAGCACGCTACCTCTCCAAGATATGGGAGAAGAAGATCATGGGCTATGCGGGCCGCACAAATGCTCTTGGTGCAATCAGACTGGAGCGTGATTTTATCGCCTTAGTAGACATCGTATCTCGTGGCGACTACGCCGTGAGAGAGGTCTTCGCCAAGGTCCTGCAAATACTCATGGTCGCCAACATGGAAGATGACGAATGGGACGAGATTATGGCCCAAGATGGGGAAGACGATGCCATCGAGTGGGTTTTAACTGAGGAGGAGAGGAGGCGGGCGCGAAGTTTGGTAAGAGGATGAGATGACATTTAAAGATATTCAAGGACATAAAGAGACGGCGTTGATTATAGAGAAAAAAATGAGAGAGTCTAAAGAGATGTAATAGTAGAATTAATGCAAGCGAGTATATCGTAGTTTATGGTTGGTGAGCCATTGATAGCCACTGATGCTAACTTGTCTCTAATCATTTAGAATCTGACGGACTGTAATTGAAACTACCTTGACTTTCATAAATCAAGAGCACCAGGATAAGTTAAAAAAGTAAAAAAGGATAAAAAAAAAAAAGCCATTATTGGTGTCAAACCTTGCAGCAAACTGCCTTCTCTAGACAATCATTTTTCGCACATGCTTGATATCCTTCGTTTAGCATACATACCTACCTAAGGTAGGCTTGAACTTTTAGTGGCCTGCCACTGAACAAAGCCGACATTAGGGGCACCAGACCTCAGGCACCCGCCGAACTTAGTACCCAAGTCCAGCAGTTTGGATTGGGCATTGCCCTGCTCTGAGTCACTCTCAACCATCAAAAGTCTGGCCAGAAGCTCCATTTTAGCTCGTCATGATGAGTGAGCATGAGGCCCAGTGTGATGAAAATTTCTATCACCCAACTATCACAAACTCCGAGCCACAGACCTCAATATCATGGTTTCCCAAGATATTTGCTAACGCCTATACTTTCAGAAAACACCATCTACTATTTTCTAAAGCGAGATTTACAAAAAATTACCTACCCCTCTCCGATATTGAGAACACCACTAACATCACAAACATTTGGCTCTCCAGCTGCGCCCGCCATGGAGACAAGGATAGTAAAAGTCCCGAGCAAGGGCTCCCTAGGCCAGTTTCGACCTGGCGATGGACTCGCAAAGTTGAATCACTGGGAGGTTCATTGTGAAAATAAACCCGCTCTTGAGGCTCTGCAAGATGCTGCTCACCTGCTACGGACCAAGGACACGCCTGTCGCATTCCCGACAGAGACTGTATATGGCCTTGGTGCAGATGCTACTCGGACTCCCTCAGTTAAAGGAATCTATTCGGCAAAGGGACGGCCTTCAGACAACCCTCTCATTTCACACGTTTGCGACCTAGAGATGCTACGACAGTATATCGGTTGCAGCGATACAACTGATCCTATACCTCAACGATACAGGGCTTTGATAGAGCGTTTCTGGCCTGGACCTCTGACTATTCTTCTACCTAACCCGGCACCGTCGAAACTAGCACCTGAGGTGACAGCAGGCCTCAAAACCTTTGGCGTGCGAATGCCTTCTTCAACCCTCGCCTTGTCTCTTATCAAGCTAGCTGGTGTACCCCTGGCGGCACCATCCGCCAACGCTTCCACCAAACCTTCACCCACAGCGGCACAACATGTAATGGACGACCTCAACGGGAAGATCGAGCTCATTTTGGACGGTGGACACTGTCAAGTGGGTGTGGAGAGTACTGTTGTGGATGGGCTGTGTGACCCCCCCGTCGTCCTTCGTCCTGGAGGTATCGGTATAGATGAGCTACGAAGCTGCCCCGGCTGGGAGAATGTATCAATAGCTTATAAAGACAAGAGCGAAGAGGGAAAGGCTGCACCTCGGGCTCCAGGGATGAAGTACAAGCACTACAGTCCAAAGGCAACAGTAGTGCTTTACGAGTCGAGTTTCAAAGAAGGGGTCAATGGAATAGCTTCTTTCGACTTGAAGGCGACCAATGGGGCGGTCAACGGCCATGCTAGCAACGATGAGGGGAGGGGCAGGGTTGTTGGGGTTATTCGCACCCAGCGATGGAAGTCAGGGGCTGGTCTGCGATGCGCCAGCTTTCACCATCTCACTGACGTACAAGGAGCGGATGAGGATGACTCGCCATTCCAAGTATACGAAGGCGATCTGTTGGACGAAAAGGAGCAGCCAATAGGAAAGATCTTGGATATCGATCTGGGCAGAGGCACTGAAGGAATTGCGAGAGGTCTTTTCGCAGCGCTCCGGGAATTTGATCGACGAGGTGCAGACACCATCTTTGTTGATGGTATAGAAGATAGAAGTGATATCGCAGCGGCGGTCATGAACCGGCTCCGCAAAGCGGCTTCAGAGACTAGAGCATGAATGATCATATCAATTAGAACACCAGCACACCTGTATAAAAAAAAACCTCCGTTTCTTGACCCGGTGTCAGCCAAACCAGACCAGACCAGACCACTGGCGCGTCGTCTACCTCTTTTGATTTTGGTTTTGCATGCGGCGCTGAATAACGACAAAACTCCTGACTCTCCACACATAAACCCGCTCCCATCTCTACAGACCCTGACGGAGCCAGTCCGCCAGTTTGGACTTTCCTAGCTGCGCCAAGTTGTTGACGCCCTGTTCGCTAAGGTCGATGCGGCCAACGGGCATGTCTTGAGTGGGTGCTCGACTAACGCGCTGGGTGATGATAGTAGGATCAGTCTCAAGAATGATGCCGTCGTCGACAATCTCATCAATAGCTAGCGAAACAAGGTCGTAGTTCTCGACAATTGTCCTCTTGTCAACGGATTGTCTGTAGTACTGTGTGAGCGGTGCTTCAATGGTTTGCGCGGGCTCAAAAAAGAAAGGAACTGACTTGAAAAGGATGTGGAGGGAGTCCCGCAGAGCGAGAATGGTGTTGTATAGCAGAATCTCGTTCTCGTCGACACTGCCAACAACATACATCATGACATCTGACTCCATCTTGTACAGCACAATTCGGTTATCGTAAAGAATGATATCGCCATTCTGCTTGGCAGTCTTGTCGATAAGACCCTTCTCGAAAGCCTTTTGCGACTTCACATCGGAGTAGGGGTTGGCTGAGAAGCTTGTGGGAGCTGTTGGTAACAGTTGTCAGCTGTCGTTGCGCTCACTGGCAGCATAACGAGGGAAGCTCAGGGGAGGATGAAAGTACCATTAGGTGCTGAATGAGGTGGCTGGAAGTACTTTGCGAATATCCGAGACCCATCTTCAGTGCTGAGGATCAGGATGGCCTGAACCGAGAAAAGTGACATCCCAGGGGCCATGATTGCAATCTGCTGTGGTGTTTGTTGGCTTGTAAGTGCTCTCCTTCAATGGTGGCCCCTCCAGATGCCAACAATGCCACACTTAGGGATACCCGGGACCAATGTTTGACCGCTCCGCATGGCCGACCGTCTTATCTTATCAGAAGCTCCCTGACATGGAAGCAACCCCTCGCGTCAAACACTTTACGCGTCTGAAAAAAGGAGACGCGACCCGTCGCCCAGCCAATCCCTGCGCGGCCCCTCATCTTTGTTACCAATCTCCCAACATCAACAGTAGCAAAAGACAAGGGTCAAGCCAAGTCACTTGTTCCAACTTCTTTGGCATAAACATTCAGACGTTCCAAAACGAAAATGTCGTCGCCTACGAAAAGGTCGACACGCAGCTCAGTGACTCCTCGTCGTGCTGCTCGCAATTCGGAGACCCCCCGTCGAGGAAACTCTCAGCTCGATGCCCCTTCGAGCCCCTACCACTACGAGTCTTCGTCACCAGGACCAAGCAACCAGAATAATCTCCCCCGAGATGTGTCTTCGCCATTTGGTCATATGACGAATAGCCAGAGCGATGCCCATACTCAAAGCGACCTGGATCCTGAAAGAACACCTCGAGCAAACCCAACCACACCGGCCCATCATGGAGGTAAGAGAACTGGCTCAATCGAGCTCATCTTCACTTGATTGACCACTGTAGGATCTTCGCCCGTCCGCTATGATCCTAGCTCCAGTCCTGGCAGGTCACTGCGACAGCAATCTGAGCTTCGAAGTGAGAGCAGCGGCTTGTTCTTGGGTTCTCAACTCGGCACCCCCGCACCCCACCGTAGAGGCGATATCAACTCCGATGCGACTCGAACGCCCCGTGCTTCTCGGCGTGTGATTCTCGACGATGCTGGCCGAGTAGTTCGCGAGGGCCCCGCTGATGGATCTGATGCCGCTTCTTTCGCGAACAGGGACCCCAATACGTCAGAGGCTGATGTTCTTGGTGGACAAGGACAAAGCCTTATCTGGGGCACGACTGTCTCTATCGACGATACCTTCGCATCGTTCAAGGAATTTCTTCGCAACTTCACACAGAAGTATCGGATGTACCGCGATGGTGCGTCAGATGAAGACGTCCAGAACGCTCCTGATGCAGAGTCAAAGCCATATTGGGAGGCTCTGGAGAACATGCTGCTCTTGGGAACGACACGACTTTATCTTGATATCTCTGACCTGAATCTATATCCACCAACCCGAAAGCTATGGCATCAAATTCAAGCCTACCCCCAGGAAATCGTGCCAGTCATGGATCAGTCCGTTCATGACATGATGGTCGAGATTGCACGGGCTGAGACTTTGAGAACCCGTCAATCGCAGAGCAGCGCTGGCCATCAAGCCTCCCAGCAGAGCACCCAGAGCTCAGAACCCGTCTTTCCCAGCTCAGATAGACCCGAGGAGGCGCCTACACCCCGGACACAGGCAGATCAACAACAGCAGGCTTCGCTGGAGGATCAAGTAGCTTCATCTATTTACGTGGTTCGACCATTTGGTCTGGACAAGACCACTAACCTGAGAGATCTGAATCCCTCTGGTAAGCTATACTCTACTATACTTATCCCTTCCTTCGACTAACATGGACCAGATATGGATCGCTTGATCAGCATCAAGGGTCTCGTTATCCGAACAACACCCGTTATTCCTGATATGAAAGATGCCTTCTTTCGTTGCAATGTTTGCAACCACTCTGTCAATGTTGGCCTAGATCGTGGTAAAATTCGCGAGCCCACCGAGTGTCCTCGTGAGATTTGCAAGTCCAAGAACTCCATGTTGATCGTGCACAACAGATGTTCCTTTGAGGACAAGCAGGTCATCAAGCTTCAGGAGACACCTGATGCTGTACCTGCTGGTCAGACGCCTCATTCAGTGTCGGTCTGCGTTTATAACGAGCTGGTCGATTTTTGCAAGGCTGGTGATCGTGTCGAGTTGACAGGTATCTTTCGTGTTAGCCCTGTTCGTGTCAACCCCCGCCAGCGTGCCCTCAAGAGTGTGCACAAGACATATGTTGACGTTCTCCACATTCAAAAAGTCGATAAGAAGCGCATGGGCGCTGACCCTTCTACGCTCGGTGTCGCTGGCGAGGAGGAAGCTGAAGCTGGAGAGAACGGCATCGAAGAGACACGAAAGATCACGATTGAAGACGAAGAGAAGATCCGGGAGACAGCTGCCCGTGATGATATCTACGAGCTTCTTGCTCGTTCCCTAGCTCCCTCGATCTACGAGATGGACGACGTCAAGAAGGGCATCCTGCTGCAACTCTTCGGGGGCACCAACAAGACGTTCCAGAAGGGTGGCAGTCCCAAATATCGAGGTGACATTAACGTCCTCCTCTGTGGTGACCCGTCGACAGCTAAGTCGCAGATGCTTTCGTACGTTCACAAGATTGCCCCGCGCGGTGTTTACACGAGTGGCAAGGGATCCTCAGCCGTCGGGTTGACTGCGTATGTCACTCGTGACCCAGAAACAAGACAGCTTGTCCTCGAATCTGGAGCCCTGGTCTTGTCCGACGGTGGTGTCTGCTGTATCGATGAGTTTGATAAGATGTCAGATGCTACGCGCTCCGTACTCCATGAAGTGATGGAGCAGCAGACCGTCTCGGTCGCCAAAGCTGGTATTATCACCACTCTCAATGCGCGAACCAGTATCCTCGCCTCAGCAAACCCTATCGGCAGTCGGTACAACCCCGATCTTCCTGTTCCTCAAAATATTGACCTCCCTCCTACCCTCCTCTCGCGATTTGATCTCGTGTACCTCATCCTGGACAATGCCGATGAGAAGAACGATCGACGCTTAGCCAAGCATCTATTGTCGCTTTATCTCGAGGACAAGCCCCAATCCGCTCCGAATAAGAATGATATTTTGCCAGTCGAGTTCCTTACTCTCTATATCTCCTATGCGAGATCCAAGATTCAGCCTACCATCTCACAAGAAGCGGCTCAGGAGCTGGTCGAGTGCTATGTTGCCATGCGCTCCCTTGGACAAGATGTCCGTGCCGCTGACAAGCGTATCACTGCCACAACCCGTCAGCTTGAGAGTATGATCCGTCTCTCGGAAGCTCATGCCAAGATGCGCCTTGCTGAGACTGTCACACGTGACGACGTTCGCGAGGCCAATCGTCTCATTCAGAGCGCTCTCAAGACCGCCGCCACAGACGCTCAAGGGCGTATTGATATGAGTCTTCTCACTGAGGGAACAAGTGCTGCTGACCGCAAGCGTCGCGATGAGCTACGCACCGCTCTCCTACGCCTCTTGGACGACATGACAGCTGGCGGCAACACCGTGCGTTGGACTGATGTTGCTCGCCGACTGAGTGAGGGCGCCAGCATTCCTGTCGAACAGTCCGAATTCAACGACGTGATGAGGGCTCTTGAGGCGGAGAGCGCCATCATGATCACAGGCGAAGGAGCAAGAAGGACCATCCGCAGAGTGACCTCTGTTGCATAGAAATGATGAGTGCACGGGGCTCACTCGCCGTTGAATGATATACCATGTAGATGAGTTGATGAGGGTTACTAGGATCAAAGGTTGTACGATGATAAACCTCCTGGCTGGGTCAGGCGTTGGGCATATTTGTGGGTGATAGATAGACGTGGACATGTTTAATTTGATTAATGCTGTGTATGGTCAATCTACGAGCCTTGAAACCTGTGCCGGGGTGCTAATGTCCGGTCTGAGCCCTTTCTTGACTTCAGTAGCAACGTGCAGAGCATCTCTTAGAGTGTCGATCAAGTCTTGTTCATTTTCCAGACCAGCCGAGATACGCACGCTTGCTTCCCTGACTCCTAGTTCATGCATATACGCCTTCTCGTCGGGTTTCTTACCAAAGACGACCATGTTGTACGCAAACATGATCGTGACATGTCCGCCAAGATGAGGGCTCGGATAGAAGCCTGCCCTGTCGTAGAACGCTGTTGCAGCTTCAACAGTCGAGAATTCAACTGTGAGGAGACAGCCATATCCAGGCTCTGGCAGTTCTGGCGTTGCTCGCCTTAGAATTGCATCGTAGTTTGACTTGCTGCCAAGTAGACTAGGATATTGCACATTGACCACAGGAGAGTCTGGGTCCAAGCTGGCTCTGCTGAGAAAATTGGCCATGGCGAGAGCGTTCCGGTTCAGAATCTTGGTACGTTCAAGGAGGTCCTTTGAATTGGAGAGCAAGACTTTGGCATCGGAAGCAAAGAGCTCATTATGATGAGACTCTTTGAAGAGAGCCCGAAGGTTATGATAATGGGGAGAAGTGGGATTTAGGACGGTGGAACCGCCCATGACATTGGCATAGCCACTGAAGGACTTGGTGAGAGATGAAAGGAGGACGTCTGAGCTGGATAGGACGTCTACATTGGCGAAACCACTGATTGTGTCGTCGATGATGAGAAAGAATCCATACTCTTCGGACTATTGAATGTCAGCAAGTCCACCCGCAGTAGCAGTAAGGGCAGGGCAATATGAGATCCGCTTACTAGTTCCTTCAAATGTTTCGTATCAACAGTTTCCAAGGTTGGATTTCCGGGAACCTCCACAAATGCATGGCTCACAGGTCTTCCCTCTTCCTTCTCATGCTTTAGCCAATCCTCAAAGGCTGAAAGACCTTGCTTATCAATCTTTCCGAAATGCTTCAATCCTTGCGGGCATTCTTCTATAAGATGGTGGTATGTGTTGTGGAAGACGATGCCCAGCACGACGATAGTGCCAGGTCGATGCTTTGCCAACAGAGAGCTGGAGTGGAAGATAGCAGCCATGCCCGTCGGGTACAGAAACACATCGCTTGGTGTACACTTGACCTTGTTTGCATCAACCGGTGCACGGTGGAGAAGGTCGACGATCCTCGCCCGGAGATCACCATGGGCTTCGCTCTCGGGAGTCCAAGTTGGAGATGGGATAGGGCCCTTTTCAGCATCAAAGGGAACTTCCTTGATAGTGTCTATGCTTTTGAGAAGATCCTCAGCTCCACGAATAGAGACTCCGAGTCC